TTTCATGTGATTTTCATTTTTAATATTCCATGATGGGTTTTCCAACTAGTCTCTCAATCTCTCATCCCCTCCCCCCAGGCAACAGCAGCCATTTGCCTGAGGGGAGGGGGAAGGAAGGAAGGAAGGAAGGACGGACGGAAGGAAGGAAGGAAGGAAGGAAGGAAGGAAGGAAGGAAGGAAGGAAGGAAGGAAGGAAATAAAGACTTCCAATGTTCCTTACCATAGTCCCACAAGAAAACTCAATGGTGAAGCCAATAGGAAGTCATTGTTCTTTGCCTACACTTGGTCATTCCGTTTCTCTGTTTAAGTAAGGAAAAATCTCTGAAACTATGACCCAACTGGTAATGGGTTGTCTAATGGTATATAATATCCTGACAGACTGGGATTATTTAAATTCTGTGTTCAGCATGACCTTAGTTGACAAGTATGAAAAAGTACCTGCTGATATGGTTTCATCCAATGAAAAGATCACCCAGATAATTCTTAGCTGGATTTAATGAACGTAAAGGGCAAGTAAAATAATTGCACTTAGAGCCAATGAATAATGACATCTAAATGCACCACAAATTAGCTAAGAGCTGGTTCAGAACGAAAATAGTATCTATTTAATTCCTGCAGGAATTAAATTTGACACCAGGACAAATCAGTGAAACCATTCTAGAAAGAGCAAAGAAAGGAGAATAAAAGTGTAACTTGGGAAGAAAGAAATATTGATTGCTATCAAAATCAGACGCCACGGACAAATATTTAGGTTTGACAGATGAAGTCTTAACAGAGCAAGATGGGTCAAGATCCCAAGAAGAGAAAGCACAACCTCTGGGAGAGCAATCATGAGAAAGGGACATTTAAAACTGAGCTTGTGAACAAGCATAGATAGCTGCTTTACTAGAAATATGACTTAATTCCATTTTTCTTTAGTCAGCGAATTCAGCTGGGAAGAAATTAACAATGTTGTTATACGGGGGAGGAATATGGCAGAAAGTTCCAGACATTCAGGGAGTGAACTCAGAGTAGTTTTTAAAGTTTATACTGCCATTCTGCCAAGCAACTTAAATTAACTAAATTAGCATTCACTGGGAATGTGAACGGTGAAGCTCCAAGGGAATGATGTACATCCGGCAACCTCTTTCAACTGGACATTTGTGCATGGTCATTTTCTGGTTGGTTATGTACTTTCAACTTCTCTTCTTCACCAATTCTCTTGGGTTAGTATCACTCTTGTCCTAAAGTCTCAGTTACTATCTGCATTCAAAAGTTAAGCAAGGC